TCACTTTTACAGATAGCAGATTGATCCAGTTGAGATGATTTGCTCAAGGCCACAAGATGAGTTAGGACCAGAGCTGAGACTGTTCTAGCTTCCTCCACTTCCTGCCCTGTTTCCTTCCCATCGTCCTTTCCTGGTTGTCTTGAAATGCTCCTGAAAACCCTTATTTCTCTAAACTGCTTGACTGTTGTCTCCAGAGGTTCCATAAGACAGATGTTTCTGAAATGGAGGGCTTTGCCCCAGGATAAAGACTCCTGTTGAGAGTTACTTGGGAGGTGGAGTGGGGGCAGGTCTCCAAGTGTCTTCAATCTTGCAAATCTTTGTGGCATTTGGAAGACCTTGCACACCTCTGCTCTGCCTCCACCATGGAAGGCGGGTTCATCTGGGAAGGGCTGGCTCTGTGCCCACGGTAAGTAAACATACAATATTGCCTTTATTCTTTACACCCTCCTATGGCCCAGGGAGGAGAACAGAGGCTCAGAGTTCCTACACTTGCCTAAAACCCTTTTGCTAGGAATGGTGGAGGGGAGACTGGAATGAGCACCAGTGAGTAGTGAGCACTAGGGATGAGCATGCTGTTTACTCAGCGAAGCCCTGGGCCGCCTTGTGTTCTGTGGCTTACTCTTGGATTTCCTCCCAGTTTTCTCTGAGGCTCTCCTAGGTGCCTCAGGGGAAGGAACTTGGTGAATAACAGCCTGCATCAGCCCGGGGAATTTGCAGGAACCCGAGTCTGGTAGGGCAGTCTGCAAAAGCATTGCCTTGCTGTTTTCCTGGAGCTTGCTGAGCAAAGGCCTCTGGGGCCCACAAGAATTGCTTAAATACCTTTACACATGCTGAAAATGGAAGCAAATGGGGTTAAGGCCACTAAATTGTGGTGATGATGGGGGCTGCTTTTGACCTTGGCATGGTCAGCTGTTTATACTTCCCTTGTGACTTAAATCTGCTCGGGAAAGTGCCAGAGGCTTGCTCATGTGGTGAGTGGATTCGGGTGGCCTTCAGAACAAGGAGGGGCTGGGCCAACCCAGGGTGCCCCAAGGAGACTCTTTACCTTCTTTCAGAGAGACCTCGCCTAAGGTGGAAAGGTCAGTAGTGAATATAGCGACTCCCAAAGAGACCTGCTCCCCTCTCCATTCACTCAGAGGGAAGACAGCAAGATCCTCACCACTGGGTGATGTGAGTCGTTGCTTTTAGAGGTGCACAGTCCCAAAGCCCCTTCTGTGGAATCTCTGGGAATACCTCTTGTGGGGGTGGCAGGCTGCTACTTGTTCTTCCTGACCTGGGTGGCTGTCTTTTGGGCGATGAGACAATGTGTGGTCAGGAAGGTCAGACACACTCAGGTGTGGTTCTTAACTGTGCTACTTGCTGGCTGCGTGACCAAACCATCCCATGTCTGAAAAGTGGGGGGAGTCGTACCGGTGTTAAGTGGGTGTGGATGGAGTTTAGGTATGCTGAGTGTTTAAAATGCAGCAAGCTGCCCAGACGGGGTGATGTGACTTGCCACGTGTACCATGGCACGGTACGGACTTGATGGTCCAAGTATGGTTTACCCTTGGGCTTGCTGGAAGTGGTGGGGGGGATGCTACTCTTGGGGAGGGAGTTTAATCAGGTTGTACAGGGGGCGATTGGATGGCTGCTCTGATGCTGGATGGCACTCAGCTAGATCATCGCTCGCAGATGGCTGCATCCGGGAAGAAAAGCACAGCCCCAGAGAGTGCTCGGAAGGGCTCCACTGGGAGCCCTGAAGCCAGCAAGTGCTTTGGCTCCTTCCTGGGGCTGCTGTGTAAGTCCCCAGATAGGTCACACCCCACCTGACTCTTCCTTGATCTGACCTCATATCTGAAGTGGCTATTGGGCCCCAGAGTTTTTGCCTTGGGCCATATTCTTTGAACCCATGAGTTGACATGTGACTCCCCTTAGTTCCTGTCTTTTTGGTGCAAGTTAAATTTAGTTCTTCCTTTAAAATAGAATGAGAAAAAACAGGAGTCCTTATTCTCAGAGTCCAGTCATTGTGAGAGGAGACTGTGCTGGGGGCTGGCTCTCTCAGCCGAGTCAGCGTGGGTGCTGGGCGCTTGCTTTGCTTGTCTCCATGGCTCCGGGTGACAGGTGGGCTGTCATGGACAGCAGTTGGGCAGGTGCTGGAATGCTTGTGGGGGGCATGGGATGAAGGACAGAGATGGCCAGCTCCAGCCCTGCTCTGCTCTGATAGAATGCCCCCGCATCAGTCTTGACCATGGGCCTGAGCTAGGCTGGACGCCTGTATGGCCTTCATTTGTTTCCAGCAAGTGAATTGGACCCATAATGTGCCTGGGAAGACAGCGAGTGGGACCGCAGGCTCTGGTTTTGGAGCCTGAGGTAAGAGGGGCCCTCACTTACCCTGCAGGGGCCACGTCTTCTCTGCGTTCTTGGGAGACAACCTTGAGTGAAACAGTCTCTGCCCTCAGTGGGGGAGACACAGCAGACAGATAGCTCCCCTGAGCTAGAGTAAGTGCCGTGATGAAGAATATTAAAGCGGGGAAGGAAGGGAAGCACGACAAAAAGGCACATTCTGCCTGAGACAGTAAAGGGAGGTGTTTTGGTGGAAGTGAAATTTGAAGAGCCTTAACATGTGAGCAGGAAGGCCAGAAAGGGATGTGGAGGAAGAACAGACGAGGGTGAGGGATGAGTGGCAAGCCTCTGAGCCAGGATGAGTCGGGTGAGTCACATTAATAGTGCCAGGTGTAGGGCGTAGGTTGGGTTGGGAGGTGGGTGGGCTGATGTGAGAGACGCAGGCTGAAAGCTGGCCACACAGGCCCCGTGCCCCGCGCAGGGGGTGACTTTATTCTAAATGGAAAGGGACATTGTTGGAGAGTTTTGTGGAGGGGAGTTACCTCGTCTCTGCTTTATTTGGGGAGCTGTGAGGAAGCCCCTACAGGGTCTAGACATGAAGAGGTAAAAGGCACAGACAGCCAGGAAGCCCTGGTCATTGTGTCACGTATTTGGAGGTAACACCGACACAGGGTCCTGGGGCTGGAATGTGGTGTTAGTGGGAGAGGCGACAGGCCCCAGGTCCAGGCCTTCTGTTTAAACCACTGAACGGATGCACAGTGGTCTCATTTAATGAGATGGGGAGGAGCTGATTGGGGCTTGGGAGGCCAAGGTTTCTTTGTGGAGCATGGTAAGGTTGAAATACCATCAAATACCTTAGGTGTGCAAGGGTGTTTGACTTTGGAGGGCCAGGGTTAGAGTTTGGGACTTGTGCATTGTCAGTGAACAGATCGATTGATGTGCGAATTATGAAATCAACTGGTGGGCTGGGGGGTGGGAGGGAGGCAGCGGCCCAGAACTTCCAGCAGTTTGAAGGCTCTGAAGACTGAGAGACTGAGCAGGAGTGACAGGGGGTGGGGAGTGTGCACTGCCTCTTCCCAGAACCGAGTGTGTCAGCGGAGACAAGGATGGCCAGCTGTATGAATGAGATAAGACACATAGAGCGAAAAAGATGAGACTCCCAGCTTTGGCACAAGGAAGTAGGGGGCTGAGGAAAGCGGGGGGGGGGGGGGGGGCGGTAGGGGGGGGGGGGGGGCACGATTCAAGGACAGTGGCTAGTCACCACTCACCACATCGTGTAAAGCACTGCCTGCATCCCATAAAGAAAACCAGGACCTGCGTCAGCTGATGAAGGGGGGTGGGTGGGAAGCGTGTGCGCCCCCCCTAGAGTACCAGCTGCAGTGGCAGCAGGGACCTTGGCCTGCCTGGCCCTCTGCTGTCTGAGGATGTTCCTGTCACTATTTGCTGAGTAAATGAAAGCCCTGGGCCCTATTCTGTCACTGCTTGGCATTTTGATCCTGGCCCTTTGGGATCTGTATTCCCCTCTCTAAAAAGGAGACTGGAGTCCTGGCAGGGTCTCTTACACGGGGTCCACAAACTGTTGTGGGACCCAGCAGGGACCCGTGAACCCTCTGAGATTCCGCCCTTGACTTTGGCTTGTACACATTTTCTGAAAGTGGTTGAGAACTCTCGGGGCTTTCTCCAAAGGACCTGTCCTTCCCACTCTAGGCCCCCCCCCCTCCCCGGGGGGCTACAGGAATGCCCTAAAGCCTGAGCACACATTCTGGAAAGTTGAGACTCTCAGAGACATTAGCCCCTCTGTCTAGGCCCTGGTAAGTGGTACTAAATGCTAGCATGGTATAAAGTTAAGCAGAAAAACAGGAGGCTGCATGATTTGCTGACATCATGAGATGTTTGGTTTCATGTGGCAAGATGCTCCCTGTGTGGTGTATTTGGGGGTACCGGGAGGGTCCTCTTTCTCATGGTGCATTGGTGGCAACTTGGCCCCATTGGATGCCTGGAGTGAGAGGTCAGGGCTGGGAGCACTATTCTGGAATGAGTCCATTGCTTAGCAGGCTTATTTTGATTCAGCAAGTAATAGTTCAACATTTCCTGAGTGTGTACGCATGTCCCATTCAAAGTGTGGGTGCTTACCTGTGCTAGGATGGTCCCTGGGCTGAGGCCTGAAGCGGCAGTGGAGGTGGAGCTAGATCCTGCTCCCATAGCGGGGCTGGTCCTCCGCAGGGCAGGGTGAGAGCTGTCAAAACCCTGGGGTGGCCATCACAAGAGTGAGGTCTTGTTATGCACCGCATAGTGCCTTGGGACGCATAGGGGAAGAGCCAGCACCCTGTTGCCTGACCCCGTAATCTCTGCTCCCACAATTTTGCCTCTGCTCTCTGGAACATGGGGCCACTGGAGTGGAGGCAGTGGCCAGGGCCAGCCAGCAACCCCCTTTTTGAGCCTGTGCAGACTGTCAGAGAAGGGAGCTGTGGGCTACCTAAAGAGCCTTGCCACCCCGTTTGTCCTGGAGCAGAGCCGGAGGCACCTGCAGGCGCCAGCCTTGCTGGCCTGCCCCACCAGCACGGACACGAGCCAGGGCCACCCCAGATGAGCAGTGCGGACTCTTCTTGGAGGAGCTTGTTCATGGTGCTGGTTTCTGACCTAACTTTCCCTGTCTCTCCTCTTTTCCCACTGCCCAGTTGGCTGGAGTTGTCTTCCTTGCAGTTGGACTGTGGGCATGGAGTGAAAAGGTAGGTGTCACCATCTTGAGGCCCTGAACCTCCTGCAGCCCAAACCAAGTTCTGTCAAGCTTTAACTGCCCCTTCCTACAAATGCTCCCCAACAAGCATTTCATGTGCAAGGAAACAGCTTGTAGTAATCCAGCTTGCTGAACTCACAATGGGAAAGCCTGGGTCCTGAGGCTGGCCGTGCTTACCCTGGCGGGATCAGATGCTAGAAACTTCGGCTGGGCCCCCTGAGCTCAGAGCAAGTGGAGAACCTTGTTTGGTTCTAGAAAGTCCCCTGCGACTTGTCTGCAGCGGTGGCCAGGGTCAGCCAGCAAACACCTTTTTGAGCCTGTCTGTGCCTCTGGGATCGAGCAGGCCCCTGAACTGAGCGTGTTTATTCCTGAAGCTCTTGTTCTCACCCACAGGAAGAGGCCCTGAGATCAGAGAGCATGTGCACCCTGGGGTAGAGTGGATCAAAGGCAGGCGGAGATGCCCTAGGGGGCCCAGACTGTGTGTATCCTGTGGGACAGGGGTAGGGGCCAGACAGGGACAGGTCGTTATGCACCACTGACCCTCCTTGCCCACACCGGAGACTGGTCTCTTACTGCCTGGAAGGACAGGGGACAGCTGGGACTCTGGGAGGGGACAAAAACAGGTGTGGCTGGGTGGCATGTGCATTCCACTTTTTGTTCCTTGTGGTGGCAGTGAGCAGTGAGGAGGTGAGAAGGCTGAGCAGGGCCCCAGTACCAGGAGGGGGCAGCTAGGCAGGAAGTGGGGAAAGTGAAGCTTCCTTTTGAACCTCAGGCCCAGGACCTCTGTTCATTGGAACCCCTAGGCAGGAGTTCTTAGGTACATGGGCTTTCTTGCCATGGCCATTGGAACTATATGAGGCCAGCCTTCAGTTTGGGCACCTTCAAAGTAGCCTGTGAACGCCTAAAGGACTGAAGCTGAGGTGTGGTTGGTAGGTCTTTGTCCTAGTGACTTCAAAACCAGTGCAATTCGTAACTGGTGGTGCCACTGTGTGGCCAAGTGTGGAACTACAGCATCCAGTTAGAACTGCTCAGTTCCCTTTTGGTTGCCACTATCTACATGTGACTATTTAAATGGAAAAATTAAAGTTAATACAAAGTAAAATTCAGCTCTTTAGCCCCACCAGCCGCAGTTCAGCAGTGTGTGACCTGTGGGCAGGGCATAGTCATGACTTCCACCATCGCCAAAGGCCTGTGGAAATGCTGCCTCTCTGCCTTGATGCTTGGCTTTCCATACATGTGTTCATTTTGAGGCCATTTTTTCTTCAGGGTGTGGGGTTCTCCACAAATTGGATGCAAACATGGGGGTCTAATAAAACCAGCTACCCAGTTGACCAGAGGCCAGAGTGAGGCAGTGCCCCCCAAGGTGCTTTTGACCCAAGGGCCTGCTCCACCCTGCAGCCTGCAAAAGAAGCCCGGGGTCTAGTCTACGGGAGTAACTCGAAACCTAGAGGGAGACTGGAATGCTGCAAGTGTGGGCCCTGGAGGGTGAGAGGGCAAGGATCCCCTGGCAGAGGGCCCGTAGGGAGCAGGAAGGCAGGGAGCCTGAGGACTGAGCCTTGGAGGGCAGGTCGTTGTCCTGGGTTCCGCGCCCACGCAGCCCAGTCCGGCAGGGCACACCCTGCAAGGCTGACGCCGCCCTGCTTTCTCTGCTCTTTCAGGGGGTGCTGTCCGACCTCACCAAAGTGACCCGGCTCCATGGAATCGACCCTGTGGTGCTCGTCCTGATGGTGGGCGTGGTGATGTTCACGCTGGGGTTTGCTGGCTGCGTGGGGGCCCTGAGGGAGAACATCTGCCTGCTCAAGTTTGTGAGTGCCCGGGGCGGGCGTTGGGCAGCAGGGTGTGGGTTCTGCCCGCAGGCTTCTGCTTTCCCTGGTCTGAGGACAGCGGGCAGAGCAGCTACAAGCGCCCCTTGGTCCGGAAGTAGCGGGGCTCGCCTTGGCGTCCCTCCCTCACCGTCCCTTTTATCTGCCCTCAGAAGCTCCAAAGCGCTTGTTTGTTTGCTACTCACCTTTGCCCTTCCTGTCTAAGATCAAAAGATGCTGCCAGTAAGATAGGAAATCATTTTCCTCCTCCTGGGTGCATGAATGTATTGGAAGTGCAGTGTAGAATCCTAAATTTCCTGGCAGAATTTCCAGTTACTGAGAGTTAAGCTTTATATTTGGATACAAATTCATTTTGAAATGCTTTCAGGGTAAATTGAATAGCACCTGGGAGGAGTCGCACACTTGTCATGTGCCGTATATTCTTCGATGGGTTTATTAGATCAAGTTTTCTCTGTTCTGGTTCTAATTTGAAAAGCAGAACACGTGTTTCTGCCCCCTGCACACACACTTAAAAATGTTACCTGGACGCCATCTGCATGCGCTCGGTGACCTCCGTCCAGCTGTGTATCTGAGTGAGCCTCAGCTTGCTTTTCCCTGCCATGCATGGGGTAGCAAGATGAGGTTTCTAGGAGCTCTGGCAGCTGTGTGTGATCGTGGCCACAGGCCCTGCCCTGAGGGGCTCACAGCTGCTGAGGTGAGACAGCTGTTCGCTCCCACGTGGGGTTCTCCCGGGGGAGGGGACTGCCTCATCAGCATGTACTTTCATTTACTTGGTTCTGACCACATGCGGCAGTGTGGGTAGGGCGCATCTCTGCGTTTTACAGATGAGGTGGGCCTGCTCCTGCCACCCAGCTAGGAGCATGTATTCCTAGGGCACCAACTCAGGTCCGTGCTTTTGACCAGGCAGTGGGTCTGGGCAGATGAAGGCCAGAGGCAGGGTGACGTCCTCCTGTCCTTGTGTCCTGCAGTTCTGCAGTGCCATTGTGCTCATCTTCTTCCTGGAGCTGGCGGTGGCTGTGCTGGCCTTCCTGTTCCAGGACTGGGTGAGGGATCGCTTCCGGGAGTTCTTTGAGAGCAACATCAAATCCTACCGCGACGATATCGACCTGCAGAACCTTATTGACTCCCTTCAGAAAGCGGTAAGCACTGCTTGAGGCGGCTCCCAGTGTGAGCTGGCTTTTGTCTGCTGCTCTGGAGTTGAGGTGGTGGGGAAGGTGGGGCCTTCCCTGCTGAGGAGGCAACCAGGGAGGTGCCATACTGCTCGCTACACCTGCTGGCTTGACTTTGCCACTTAATGGTGGCCTGGCCACCTAGGGTTGTTCTCCTGCGTTGGGCAGCTAGGTTCAGCTGTACTGTGACCTCCTCCCCAGGATGCTAGTACTCTTCTGCCAAATTTGGGGCCCACTTGGCTCTGGCCCTGGCCATGCAGGTGGCCAGAGACCTCCTGGGAGCCGTGGCCCTGGATACTGTGAGGCAGAGTCCTTTCCAGCACGTGAGTCACCGTCTGAGGCTATTCCTGTCCCTTCCCCCCAGACCTTTTCCCCTTCCTGAGAGGGCAGAGCTGCCTGGAGGAAGTTTCCACAGCTGGAGAAGAATGTAACCTCCCTGGACTGTGTCCTGGGGGGTTGTCGGGCAGTCCCATCTGGCTCTGTCCCTGCACCTGGAGGCTTAGGCCATAACCACCCACCTGGTGTGAGGGACCCACTCGCCGTGCAGACCTCGTTTTCCGTCTGGACTCTGCCAGAAATCCTAGCTCCCTCAGAAACTTCTTACACGAAACACTGGACTCCAAGAAGAAAATAAGTTAGAAAGCAATGACAATAACTGATTGGCTCTGCTCTCTGCTCTTCATTATTAACTAAAACTTGTCTGCCCTTATTTCATGTGTCGTGGGATCTAACAAAGCCCATTTTTGTGACCAGAGATCCTTTCCATGTTGTTACTGGTGACCTGTATTGGTCTGTGATAGTCTCCAGATATTAGCTGTTTTTGTAGAGAGATACGAAAGGTAACTAGGACCAGCTTGGAAGTTTCCTGAGGGAAGACACTGCTCCCATGAGGTGTTCACTTGGGGAGGAGTAGGTCCACTTCAGAGGTGTGGAGGGGCCTCTAAGGAGAACAAGAGGCTGCCCTGGCCTGGGGTGGGGAGGATTAGAGCCCTTCCTGGGCCAGGGGTACCTAGGAGCCTAGGGGACCTGTGTGTTGGACCCAGGAGGCGACAGAACCCAGTTCCCTTCCTGAGTCTCTGTGTTCAGCATCTCAGTGTATGTGGAGATTAGTGGAGGGGGCCTCAGTTTCTCTCTGTGGTGGGGGAGGCACGCTGCACCCTGCGGCCCCGGGACTGACACCCTGCTGTGGGTGGCCACAGCCTGACTCAGAACCCTCAACAGGTTTTACTTTCATGTTTGCAGAACCAGTGCTGTGGGGCATATGGCCCTGAAGATTGGGACCTCAACATCTACTTCAACTGCAGTGGCGCCAGCTATAGCCGTGAGAAGTGTGGGGTGCCCTTCTCCTGCTGTGTGCCAGACCCTGCGGTGAGTGAGGGTGTGTGGAGACGCGTTCCTCCTGAGCTCCCGACTCCCTGGCACTTAGGGGTCTAGAAAGTGGGCTTTCAAGCTGATCTGAGAACTCTGGGCTGCTGCTTTTCTGCGAGACTGGCCGAGTGCCCCGTGCCCCTTCCCCGTGAGCTCCCAGAGCTCCTGTGGCTCTGAACCCTATAGCTGAAAGCCCCAGGAAATTCTTATGCAGCCCTCCCTGGCTCTGTGGTCCTGACTGAGGTGGGAGAACAACAATATCATTGTCCCCAGAGGGATTATGAGTGTTATGAGCCCTACTCTGCCCTCTTCCTGTTCATTTCTCCACAGAGAAGTACCAGCCTACAGGGTATGTCACCATCTGGGGGACAGAATCTCAGAGGTGGAGAATTATTTCCTTTTCTTTCTTGGCCTGTTTTCATTCTGAGTCCCAGGCCCAGGCGCTTGGGGGTCTGCAGCTGGGCTCTCAAGCTGATCTATGAAGGAGTGTTTGCCTGAATGAAGGCTGAGCCGAGCTGGGCCCTTTGCAGGCCTTGGTGGTGTTTCACAAAGCATGGACGCATTCTGTGGGCAGCTCCGAAGGCCAAGAGAGGCTCGGGATTGCTGGGGTTGCGTGTTGCATGTGCCAGGTCTCCTCTGTGACTGAAACACCTAGCAGGTGTACTTGATCACCTGGTCAGGCATTGGCAAACTCTGGACTGTGGGCCAAACCTGGCCTGCTATTTTTGTGTGACGGGCGAGCAAGGAATGGTTTTGGTCGTTTTTAAATGGTTGGACAAAGAAGGAAATAGTGGTGACATGAAAACTTTTATGAAATTCAAATTTTAGTGTCAATGACAAAGTTTAAAGCTGCACCCAGTCATTGGGTCATTGTTGCCAGTGACTCTTTTCCTGCTACAGTGACAGCGCCGACGAGGCGCTAAGTAGATGACACGCGGCCTGGCCCTTGGTAGACCGTTTGCCACCCGTTGTCCTGCATGAAAGGGGTTAGCATGACCGAAAAATGTGAGCTCTAATGTAGTGTGTGCAGGTGCTGCTGGTATCTGGTTGTGATTTTTCCAGGATCTTCTACCACTTGCTTCCCAAGAGAACAAAGATGGCTAACTTCTTCTGCTTTTCTTACAGCAAAAAGTTGTGAATACACAGTGTGGATATGACGTCAGGTCTCAGGTGAGAATCCCAGTACCTATAACTTCCAGCGTTCCTCAGGTTTAGTCCCTAAGACCTAGTTCTTGATTTAGCACAAGTGCAAACCGGAGTGGGAAAATGAGGGGAGAGGAGGCTCCAAGGGCCACAGAGGCTGGAGCGAGCTGGGTGGGTGCCCTTCCTCCCGGGCTGCCAGCCGGGCTCCTGGGAGCAAAGCTGGTGGCTCCCCTTCTCCCAGATTTTCTCCCTTTAGTGTCTACTTCCTCAAGCCCCCCCCTGCTCTGTAGATGCGGGCTGTGGAGGTGTGTTGAGCAATTTGACCTTTGCTTCTCTGGGCAGAAATGGGCTGATGGTCAGAACCAGGGAGCCTTTGGCTAGAGAGGTCACAGCGTGTAAACTCTCTGGGGACGGGGCAGAGGAGACAAGTCTGGCCTCTGTCTGGCCTCTCCGCTCTCCTCCCACCCTCCCTCTCAGAACCCGGCTCAGGCCACTGTGATTTTTCCCTGCAGCTGAAGAGCAAGTGGGAGGAGTCCATCTTCACCAAAGGCTGCATCCAGGCGCTGGAAAGCTGGCTCCCGCGGAACATTTACATTGTGGCCGGTGTCTTCATCGCCATCTCCCTGCTGCAGGTGTGTCCCGCTGCCCGTGGGGCTGTGCCCGTTCACTCAACCAGATTTTACATCTGGAAAGACCCTGGTGGCTGAGGGGGCAGCAAACCCTGGAGTGGATGGGCTGACTTAGTGTCTGTGGGGAGAAAGTCAAGAACTCGGTGAGTCATTGAAACCAGGAGCCCAGGGCTTGCGAGATGCTGGCGGCCCCGGGAACAACCTCCGCGGCATCTGCCGCTGCTGTGCGCAGATCACACCACTGAGAAGGCGCTGGGCTCTGACCCGGCCTGGCAGAGGTGACTGAGGTAAGCCGGGCCCAGCGGGCGTCCGCACTCTCCTCCCCCCTTTGCTCAGCAGACTGTGTTCATGTTGAGTGATCTCAGAGGAAGTCTGAGAGACAGAAGCATCTCACAGAGGAAAGAAAGATTTCCTTGTAAAATAGGCAAGGGCATCAGATAGATACGTCTGAGGGACTGGCTCATCAAATGCCAGCCACAGCAAGCGCTTAAAGGGGAAAAGAGGAACAGCATTCCTGAGGTCGCCAGGTTCTCGCCGCCTGCGCCTGGTGGAATACCATCTTCCCACACGGTTATTCTTGTCACCAAGGTCAGGACGTAGCTTTGGACATAAGCACTAGCCAAAATGAGGGACAACCTTGGTTTTATTATAGCATCGGATTTACAGGAAACCGTTAAAATTATTTTGGGAACCAGAACCAGGCAGGTTGACCTTATTATTTTTGGTTTAGCCTTGGGTGCACAGGGTATCCTGGCCCCGAGGCATGTGGTGTGTATAGTCATGCTGGAGACAGGGCGTCCATTTTGTTTCCCTGGTGCCTCCTGCTTGACTCTTCTAGCCTCTGGGATACCGCAAAATAGAAGTTGGGACTCTTTCCCACGGGCCACCTTGTTTTGCCTGGGACCCACTTGTTGGGCTCTTTGCAGCCTTGGTCTTGGTAGACTGGGGGTGGGGGCTGTACACGCGTGGCCTCCCGCGTCGGACCCCAGCGTTGATGGCTGCCACCTTTGCTGGCTTTGCTTTCAGATATTTGGCATCTTCTTGGCGAGGACCCTGATCTCAGACATTGAGGCAGTGAAGGATGGCCATCACTTCTGAGCAGCAGAGCGAGTGGAGCAGAGCTGAGCCAGGCTGTGGAGGTCAGAATCCTCCACTGTCACTAACTTTATGTCCAGTGAACGAGAAGTGGACACGCCCAACTGGAGCCAGCACCCCATCTCAGCATCAGAGTGACGTGCCCTGGTTCTGCTTGCTGGTGCTGAAGACAGAGACTGTCTTTAAGTGGGATGGCAACTTAGGGACAGGCAGAACTCTTGTGGCTTTGAGAAGTCTTAACTTAGTCCTCCTGGAGCCCAAGTGCGTCTACAGGGCCCCCTGGCCTCCTCACCACTCATGTCATTTGTGCTGGCCTTGAGGGCAGCCACATCTGTGAATAGGACACTGGCGGAGGAGCCAGCAGGCGTGGACAGACCTCCCAGCAGCACATGGGCACTGTCTGTACCTGGGATGGGAATTACACTCGCACTCAGAGTCACAGTAGGCCTGTGAGTCCACCAGGACCTCTGGTGTCTGCACAAGTTGGGAGCTGTTTGCGGGCAGCTCAGCCGTGTCCAAGTGAAGTAAGCCTGAGCCACTGTGTGGGCTGGGGCCGCGGGCTCAAGGCACTGCCCATGGCCCCCACCAACGTGGGCCTGTGGTCACAGCAGCATTATGCCCTGATGGCACAAGGGGGGCAATAGACATGGTTCTATGTTGAGAGCCGGCTCTCCTTTTCTTACGGCATGTAAATAGTTTATTTATAGGGGCAAGGATGTTCACGTGGTTTCTCATTTCTTCTGGCATTCTCCTCTAGTCAGCCTTACATGGTGTCCGGGACTGGAGCTGTCCCTTTCAGTTCCCTCAAGTGTCCCAAGGACAACCCCATTGCTTCTCCTTTTCATCCTAACAACCCTGGTTAGGTGCACGTGCGTCTCTTCTCCATGCACCCCAACTTGCATACACCCACTCCCACTCCCTAACTGGGCCTCATTGTCTTCTAGTCTTGGTGCTACTGAAACTGTCCCTGGAACTTGAATCCTGTCCTTCCCTCCCCCTACAAGACCAGGAGCCCTAGGCAGAGATAGCCATCATCAGTCCTTTGGCCACAGCTCCTTTCAAAACCACGTGCCACAGGCCTGCCCCCAGCAGGGCGTTCGCCTCTCCCCAGAGAGAGAAGTTCGGCAGCCGGCCCTGGAGTCCACCGCAGACCCCAGCAGCAGCCGTGTGGAGCTCTGCGTGTCTCGATACTGACTCTAGTGACTCCCTCAGCCGGGATGTCTGTGGTCACAGTGTCTGCCCTTCCTGTGAGGGCTATTCTGGGGCTTGTTCTTGGAAATGAATTGTTTCATGTGCTGAATAACCCCTGCTGGGAGTAGATAGCTGGGGATTTTGTTCATCTTTGTCTGGGCCACGTTCTAGAATTTCTGGGGGTCCTGTACCAGTTCTGTCCTTTCGTTCAGGGATTGAGCGCTGCCGTCACTTACTTGCCGAAGTGTACATTCTAGTGCGGTGTATACTGATGGGAGTCTGTTCATGATGTTATTATAATTTTTTTTTTATCATTTTCTTTGTAGACTAGGAGAAGAATGCTGTGTTTTTAGGAAGTGTGATGCTTTTCTTTGCCAAACTTTTATGGAATATATCTTTGTATTAAAGCTGTTGGTTTGGTTGTTTGTGTTTTGGCATTAAACATCGCAGTGGGACACTCAGTTGCCGAGGGGACCAGTGGATAAGATGTGAGAGATACCACAGAAGGGTGGGCGGTACAATCCTTCACTGGCACAATCTGAAATAAATTGCATAAGTGATTTTTCTTTTTAGATTCTGCGAGCCACTTTCAGGTATCCTTTTTTTGGAGGTGACTTAGCTCTGCCCAGGTAGAAGTGTGAGAAAACAGTATGACTCGGTAGACCTGGAAGGCACATTACTTTAGGTTGCCTTTGCCCAGCAAGGTCCAGACAAAAGGGCCTGGGGACACTGGGTTGGAATCCTGGCACTGCTACTGCTCGAGATACATGTCCCAGACCCTCTGGCCTGTTTTTGAAACAATTAGTGGCTGTGCCCATTTTGCCAGGTGGCCTCAGAGCCTCATGATGGTGTGTGGACACCAGCACCTGGTGGACGATGACCGCGATCCCATCAGTCAGGTAGACCTGGTGGCTGGGCCCCTTGAGAGTGTCTTCAAAGGTCATGGGCAAGTTCAAGGTGAAGTCTAGCTGTGACTTCAGAGTCAGGTTTGTGGATCAGTTAATTTACAGAACGTCTGGGCCACTTGTTGGATGAGGGTAGAAAAGAAGCTCAGGGTCCGGCGCACACAGGAGCCCTTCCAGTGGACAGGGGTCCTCTGCAGAGCACACGCCCCCAGGGCGCTCCTGGCCCACCTGCCCTGAGTCCCCACCCCTCCCTTCCCTTTTATTCTGGGGCGGAGGTCAGCGTGTGACTTCCCCTTTTGGGCCCCTCCCACCTCATGCTTTAATGTTTCAGGGTCTCTCCCCATGGTGCCTTCCTGCCCACCTCTTCCCAGGATTTCACCACTGTACAGCCCCCCGCCTCTGCATCTCCCCATCACACGTACCCGCATCTTTCCAAAGCTTGTCCTGGCCCTGTTACCTCCTTGTGGGTGGCTTCTTAGCTGGGCTGTCTGTACTCATCACCACAACCCACCACTCTCCAGTCACCAGACCTAACTGGACATCTGCAACGTCTGACTTTGGACCCCTCTTTTCTCCAAATCCTTGGCCTGGGCCCGAGGTTGCCAGGTCACTGATGACTCTTCCCTGTGCTTTTTATGCCTCCACTGCCATTGTCCACTTCACCAGGACCCAGGGCCTCACAGGACAGCGCTGTGAGCTGGGTAGGAAAACCTCCAGCACTGATTGGTACACAAGAAGCTTGTGCTCGGCTTTCCCACATGAGTAGCAATAAAAAATCAATGGATATGCAACCTTTCTAGAACATCGGAAATGCACAGAATACCTAACGGTAAACTTTTCCAATCACCAGAACAGCTCTGAGGAAGCCATATTGGTGCCCAAAATTTTGACTTGGAGAAAGGTAGGTTGTCGTCAAGGATTTGGGAGAACTGGTTCAAGCTCTGAAAGCTGTGTCCTGAGCCTGTATCAACCTTTGAAATAGGTTTGGTGCCCACCAGCCTTGGATTCTGAGTTAGCCTATACTGAGCAAAACCAGCAGAGGGTCAGAGTGGAGTCTTCTGAGACTGTCCACTTAACTAAGCTTTATTGGCCGGTTAACAGGCATTTGGAGAAAGCCAGAGAACACTGATCCCTGCCTCATACCTGGATCTGGATGCCTGGTTTGGCTTTGGGGGCCTTGGGAGAACCTGGCATTGCTCCCAAGGAGCTCAGCTCCACCTTGCACTGGAGAGCCTGACTCGGCCCCAGGCTCACTTCTCTGCAATCCCTCCCTCCACCCAGCAGGCCTCTGGAGGGCTGCCTGTGCTGGGCAGCAGGGAGTTGGGCACAGCCTTCTTTCCAAGAGATAACAGCAGGGACTCTTGGGGGTAATGGCCATGCACATACAGCCAAACAGCCAAGGAGGTTGGGTTGGAGACGGACCAAGGAGGGAAGGTCTCGGCAGCAGGCACCACCTGGTTACTCCTTAGCCAGCAACCTCAGAGCATGGACTGTGGAGGCATAGGCAAGGGAGAGGGGCCATTCCACAGGCGCCATGAGTCACCCTCCTGCCCTGGTAAGGCCTGCCCAGGCCTCTGGAACTTTAGCCCTGTCACCAACTAGTCTGAAGCCCTCAGCTGCATCTGGTGGGCTTTTCCAACTCCAGGGACATGCAGGTGCCTGTGTCCACAGGATCAAAGGATTTTCAGGTTGTCTACCTCCCAATTGTGGTCCCCTGTCCCCAGTGATGAATCATGGTACCTCTATGTGCTTGTCTGTCATCCAAGAAGGGGTCACCAAGTCTCTCTGGGCCTCCTGAGGAACCATTCTCATGCATCCGGGTGTGCTCTTCAAAATTCCAGAGAGCCATGTATGTTTAGGATCTTCCTAGAACTTTATATAGTCAGCGAGACCTGGCCTCTCCACCAAGGATTCAGTAAAGGCATGTTCATTCTCCAAATGCTTTCAGGGTTTCCAAGGTGCCTCAGGGAAATCTGAAGGGGGCAGTGTACAATGGAGACTGTTATAGAACTGTAGGAGGAAGACAAAGTTAAGGGCACACCTGTCCGAATGGACATTGTCCTGGTGAAGTTACCCATTTTAGAGATTCCAACTTGGAAGGAACTGAAGTACAGATTTCTTATGAAGGTCTGAGACAATCATTTCTTCCTGTTTTGTGTCACTGATATTTTAGCAAGAGTTTCAGATGCATGGTTAAATAACCACCAAAATAACTTAACACCTTGGATTGTAATTTTATCACCTCCAACAACTTCTAAACTAATTTTGTTAATAAGTAAAAACAATCTAAATATAGTGTAAAATGCAAAGTGTGTCTCCTGTTTCCCAGAGGTAACCATTACTAAGTGCCCTTCCAGAAAATGTCCACTTATATTCAAACTCGCCCTTCACACCACTGAGAAACGTATTTTACATAGAATCCTGCAAATGATGGGACGTAATCGACTCTGCATTCCTCCATCGGTGCACCCATCCACGCTGTGTTTTCCCCATCACTGCCCAGTGCAGAACAGCATGAGTGAACTTTGCTCTGTACGAGGGAGCAGGTTCAACACAGGTCACAGGTAACAGAAAACCCAGTGCAAACTGGCCTATACCATGAGGGAGGCCGTTGGCCCCGACACTGGAAAGTCCAGGGGCGAGGTTGGTTAGATGCGAGCCACTCTGATGCCAGCAGCAGGATCTGGTTTCCTGCTCCTCTGCCTCCCAGTGTCCAGCTCTCCTAAGCCCGAGGGAGGGACCATGGACCCACCTCCAACCTCTGAGATGGCTGGTGGGGGAGTGTTTCAGGCATGGACACCCCACACTCCCCTGGGCTTGCCTATCCGCCGAGAGCACATGCCCAGGAAGCCCCAGGCCCTTGGGGTAGGGAGTGAGCACGGGGCGGCTGCCAGCAACTCATTACACTTCAGTGCATGCAGGCAGCCGGTGTGGACTCTTGCTCTTTGCAGGGCTTAGGAAACCCCCACAGTACTTTGTTACTGGAATTACTTCCCGAAAGTGCTTAGAGGAAACACATTTTGAAGGATGGTCATTAAGAGGGTAGGCTGGCAACTTAGTGGATACTCGGGGCAGAAGCGTGCTTGTTACTGCCAAGCCACGGTGGGTGTGTACAGCGTGGCGTGCCCTAAGCCTTGTGATGTACTGGGTAGTAAGGGCAGTGGGGGTGGTGTCTCCCAAGTGCCCCCTCCCCCTCCCAGAAGATGCAGCGCTGTGATCTGCAACAGTCCAGGTTCCACAGAGAGGCAAGCTGGGCAAGGGAGCCCAGCCTTCCTTTTGCCTTCACCTTGGGAGGTGACTAGTTGGATGGGAACGCAGCGTTTTGGGGTGCCATCCTTGTGTGTGGATAAGGACATGCACTCTGAGCCTGTGCTGCCCCGGGTTGCACAGGGTGGGACTATAGAGTGCAGGCAGCCACCAAGGGGCCTCCAGCTGTAGGGTGTGGCACCGGGACGTCAAGGAGCAGCTGCATCTCACCGAAAGCCCTGGTGCGCTGCCACGGGGCTCTGGCAGCTCACTGCCTGACTGCTGCTTCCTGTTGGGGTGACCCTGCTTCTGGGAAAACGCAGCATCGCACCGCTCTGGTGGACCCACCTGTCTAGATGGCAGAGAGGCAGGAATATGATGCATGCAAAATAGGAGAGGTGGATCCAGGGTGTGGGGAGGGAGGGAGAGGGTCTGCCCCACGCACGTGCCACGTGCTCTTCGGTGGAGCCTGAGCTGGGGCTGTGCGGGTGCCCCCTTACCCGTGCAGCACCAGGCCGCCAGACACAATTATGACAGAGAAGGGCCCATCCTCCAGTTTAGTTCCTTTGCGGTCCGATGGTGGGAAGACTACTGTCTTGGGGGAAGAAAAGAGCAACGTAGTGTCTCAATTTCTTCACTGAGAAGGTGGGGATGATTGAGGCACAAGGTTCCTGGGAGTCCTGGATGGGTGAGTGTGGATGAAAGAGATTAAAGTTGACATGTGGCCCGAACACTGCTGCTCACTGGCTGCATAGCCGTTGGCAAGTGGCTTAACCTCCTCGAGTGTCTTTTGTAAAATGGAGGAAATAGTACCGCACACAGGGTTGTTTTGAGGATTCAGTAAGATGAAGTGGATGAAGTTTTTTTTTTTTTTTTTAAATTCATTCAGAACTTGGGACAGGCCAGAGGCTCAGGGGCGGTAAGAGGATTTACCAGAGACAGTGGGGAGCAGAACAGGTTGATGGATGAAGTGGCCTGTGGACAGCGGCCAGTCGCCACTGTGCTGAGCTGCCTGAGTCATGGGTAGTATGGCTTCAGCTCCCAGCCAGGCTGAACTGAAAGGACCCACTTCTCTGCACTTTTAGGAACTTTTGAGGTGGGTGAGGAGCCTCAGCAGTCATCTGGAGTTCAAGTTCTGTGTCATAGGAGTGGGAAAGAGGAGAGGGGGTTTCTTGCCTGTGCATCCTGCCAGAAACCAACACAACCTGAAAATTTGACCAGAGGAAGCTGAGTGGCCCTCACCTGTCTGCAGAGGCCAGCCCCGGGGAGCCAGCAGAGGCCTCAGCCTGCCTTTGAAGGCCCCACACTTTTGGACTCTCCTCTTGTAGGGGGCTTAGGGCCTGATGCGCTGGGCTGGTCTGCCAGCTCACAGCTTCTGGTCAGCCTTCCCACCTCTGTCCAGAGCAGCCTGGGGGTGGTAG